TCCGATGCATAGTTTCGTAACCAGTTAGCTTAGTTTTTTTTCAGCCGTCTAGTTGCTATTCATACTTCTGGCCTTGAAATCTTATGTAAGTAATATTTGGCCGATTTCTTGTAGGCCAGCATTTTAAGCTCTTCGTACCCACGTATTTCGGCTTTTCACCTCATTACGGAAACTACGTCTCTTACGTCTTTCTTTTAGGAAGCATCGTTTTTTCCCAGCAGCTTCTTGACGTTCCTCATCATACCTGTTGCTCTTTCTGGTGCGTTGAAATCCGACTACTCCTTTGATGGCGTTAGGTAATGAGCGGGATATGTGGTGCCACTGCTCGCATATGTCGGATAGCAGGTGACAGAGTAGAGTGGCCAATAAAATGGCTATCTGTTTTTGATTACTACTTTTCGATGTTAAGCTTTCCTTGCAGTGTCGGGTTCGTATCTTGCTTACAACAAGAAAGTGGTCCGAGTTGTGCATTAAAATCAATGGAATCATGCCTACCGTCTATCGCAACATCATTTATTTAGTTTTTCGTTTTTCAATTCGGAGGCAGTCACGTAACTTTATGGATTTCTTTTTTGTTGGAACCTAGTACTGAAAACTGCCATGCCTCTAGCCTCGGCGAAGTCGATCAGCCATTTCGCCGTGGAGGCTGAATTTTCCGACGGTGGGTCAACAGATCAACTCCCTGTATAACCTGGCATTGAACTCACCAAGCACGAGTTTGATATCGTTGCGGGGGCAACTGTCGTAAATGCGCTTCAGGCACTAATAGAAGATATCTTTGCTCGCCTCGACCTGCTTGCCGTCGGTGCGTGGGCGTAAATGAACAAGATGTTGAAGAATCTTGCTTTGATGCTGATTGTGGCGCGGAACTATTTAAACGACACTGAATTTGCGCCCCTTTGCATGGCAGCTGTAGTAGACTTCGCAAGACAAGACCGCAAAGATTTCTTGCCTTACCACGTCCACTGAATTTCTTGTCTCTCCGAGAACATAATTACAGTACAGTCTGATCAGCAATTCGTTTGGATTTTTTTATACCGTGTAATTAAGTCTTTAACATCAATATCGCTATTATCGACATTGGTAAGTCCTTACGCCATGCAATCAGCCAACGTTTTCACCCATCCGGTTGTAAGTATAATTGGTGGACGTAAAGTGGGAAAGCTGAAGAGCCATCTTATCAATAAACTGACAGGTATGTACAACAGCAGTCTTTATGTAAAATATGCCATCAAGAGGCACACTTATGTATAATCAGCGGGACAGACAAGCTCAACGAAACGACTAGTGGAATGCATATAAACAGTGTAGTGTTAAAAAGCAATAAAATGCATCACTTCTGCGTAAGGGCCAGCAAGAGTGTAGTTGAGTAAAGAATTTTTGCTAGAATTTTGCTATGCAAAAGATTCGAGAATGAGTGAGCGCAAATCAAATCAATCCAGTCACAGCGTAGAATTGTGAACAAGCCACCACTTCGTCTGATCTGCTCAAGTATACATACTTACTTAAAGCAAATGACAGCCAAATAGGCCGTAACTTCCGTGACAGGTTGGCAGGAAGTAACTTAATTAAGCTGGACAAAATTTCTCACGGGAAAATATGTGGAATGACCCAATGAAGATCTCGGTGGTTAATTTACAAATGAGCAAATTCCACATCGCCAAAGTGTTGCGGAATCACGGCAACGACTATATGTTTTTTTTCTTTAAATTTTTTAGCGCCACTATTCGCCAAAGCGATGTCCATGCAAGTGGTTCATTTTAGTTAACACCTTCGACAATGTGTCGCATGCATAAATTCATGAATTATAGCTACAAACAATGTAAGCAGACAACAAGCCAGCCGGTCAGTCGACTGGCTGCTCTCTGCTCCTGATCTAAAACCTAGCCGAACGGTGTATGTAACCAAAGTCAGTTTTAACAGCTACATAAATCGCAGCCAAACGTAGCATAACGAGCTTGCCGGCTGGTCATAACTGCATAGATTTGGTCAGACGCGCCAAAAATATGCGCCTCAATGCCAAAATGGTAGCAGCAGCTAATAGCTAGCCAATCGGATCTGATCTGATCCACTGCGATCAGCTGTGATCCACGATCCACTAGTATGAGGCATTTTGTGTCGCGTAAAGCAAAGCATGGTAAAGTGGAGTTTTCAGCTCATTACAGCAAATCAATGTCATATCCACTAGCGAGCTCTATCCACAAAATATGCGACGAGTAAAATTTAATGCTTGTCGTATGTACATTTTCGGTGTGTCTACAATTGTGTGAGCGTCTACAAACTTATGTAAGTGAGACTTTGTGGCATCCGATGCGCTTCAATGCAGTGCGCAATGCTGCGGATGTGACTACATAGTTATTCTGTTGTCGGTCAGTAAAAATGTACATAGCTGCGCGCAATGCTGTAAGTGAAGAAAAGCAAACGAAGGGAAATTTTCTCAATTTTGGGTTAAGTTTTATTAGGAAGGGATCCGTCCGATTACGGACTAAGATAAGGATTCAGAATAAAAAGATCTATCAATCATCATCCTACGAGGCTGCCTACAGATGTACTTACACTCCGAGCTTATTACGTTTACAAAGGCTCAGCTCTTGCTAGTGGTGGGGTTTTCTGCGAGGCCATTGAGCACTTTATTTTAGACTATCCAACTTCCGCGAAGCTAAGATGGAAACATTTTGGCTCGCACTTCGTAACTAACTTGGAGCTCTCAGGCATCGCTGACTAATGTAACCGGGGCAAACTCTTGTAAGACGGCGAACTAGGGACGGAACCCGGAACATACTTAAATTATGGCGCGAACACTTTTCCACCCCCTTGAGGAGAAGAACTCGAGCCCCCAGTCGATGGGGTTAGAGTCGATGAACTGCCACTCGACCCTGAATTTCTCACGTATAACTTAGTACTACAAGAGCGATTAATTTCTGGCGTACGACATCTTCGGTCTCAACAAGCGCTACGGTGGTGATAACGCAAAATATCTCGTCCATCCGGCAAAGCGTCTTGACTACCACGCCACTGTTGAAAGCTATAATTTCGTAGTAGACAACTTCGTTTATTTACCTCAGCAAATGGTTCAAGAACGCCCTATTTCAGATGCCGACATATTGAAATTATACTGATAATAATAATTTTCGAAGCGACACCTGAGATGGGACGTTTTTGTACCAAATTCTGAAAGAAAAATATTCCAGTGAATTGATTACCTCCTCCTATTTTGAAGTCGGTTAAAAAATATTTTAAAATTAGCAAATGCCCGGCGTGATTCGCTGCGATTCATTTATTTTATCAATTTCATTGCAAACAACTTTTAAAACAGGTGGCAACCCTCCTCAAAAATATCTATAGATTATATGTATGCACAGATTTTTTTTAAGATTATTGCAGGTAAAAAAAGAAAAAATATCAAAACTTTGACTTTTCAAGGTCAAGTTAATTTTTCGTTCAATTAGACCTGTAAAATTTTCTTCAAAAGTAACATTTTTGATTTTGCGTATTTTTTTTTTAAAGGCAATCTGCTGCAAGAACAGCAAAACTTTTTTAAAAGTGCATTGAATACTGTTTTAAGGTAAACAAGTAAGAAAGTCTAAGTTCGGTCGGAGCCGAACATTAAATACCCGGCGCAAGTATTAAATATATGTTTTTTCAGCTTTCCGAAAGCTACCGCTAGATGGTAAGACGGGGTATATAAATTTTGAGTAAATTAGCGTCCTTAAATTTCGAAATATTCCAGTTTCAAGCATTTCTGAAATTTACCGTTATATGAAAAGCGGCCGTAATTTTAGTCCGATTTCAATAATTTTCAACGTTTTGCTTTTATGTGGCAAGCAAAATAAAAACACCGAGTTTGGTACAAATTGGTATAACGCTTACCGATATACATATATGTGATCATAAGTGGGCGGTGCCACGCCCATTTCCCAAAATTTTACCATAAACGTCTTTCTTGGTAAAGAATTGTTGCAAGCATCAATTGTGAATAAATTAGATTTAATATTTTCTGATTTATCGAAGATTTTGTATTTCTCTAAATTACCGTTATATGGGATGTGGGCGTGGTTATTGTCAGATTTTTTAAATTTTCGGCCATTTAGTATGCTGTACCAAGGCCAACAATTGTGCAAAGTTTGGAAGAAATTGGTGCAGCGGTTACAAAGATATACACATGTAACCATAAGTGGGCGTGGCTACGCCCATTTTCCAAAAATTTATAATATTCTTTTTTTCGTCGGAAAATTAATGTAAATATCAATTTTGAGTGAATTATCTTCAGTAGTTACTAAAATATCGCAGTTTTCGTATTTCTGGAAATTACCGTTATATGGGAAGTGGGCGTGGTTACTGTCCGATTTCGCCCATTTTCAATACCAACCTACCTTGGATTAACGGAAACCTATGTACCAAATTTCGTTTAGATATCTCAATTTTTGCTCGAGTTATCGTGTACACGGACGGACGGACAGACGGACGGACAGACAGACATGGCTTAATCGACTTCTCTATTCATTCTGAGCATTTATGTATACATTTGTCTATATCTATCTCGATTCGTTTTGGCTGTTACAAACAACCGTTATGTGAACAAAGTGCGCTCGGGTATAAAAAGGAAAATATTGAGATACTTATATTTTTCAAGGACATTTTAAAAGTCAAGCCAGTTGTTTTATTCAACGAGAGTATTTTTTTCAATTCTCAAATTTGATTGTATTACAAAAAAAGTTCATCTTCCACACAATGCGGCTTGGAAATGTACTTCCTTTTATCAGCGCGAGCGATTGAGTCCTGTTGAATTGTACCTTTTTCCTCACTAATTAGAAATATTTATAAAAGCAAAACCATTTGAAGCAAATACTTCCTATGCTATTTTATCACACAATTCACTAAAATAGTTTCTATTAGTTTCAGATTAAAAAATTCAGTTTCAAATTTAATTTATTTTCTTTACTATCCTTCTGATAAACAAATCAAAATTTCAGTATTTGCATTCCCAAAAAAATAAAACACTAATTTCTTGTCCGGCTCAGTGATTTCATTACGGTGGTAATCCATGTAAGATACTTGTAAACTTTCGTATAAACTCCGGGATATTTCGGCCGTGCACAGCCCACACCATATGATACGATGCCATATTGTGTACTTTGACTGGTCAAAGCGCCACCCGAATCACCGTAGCATGTGTCTTGATTTGGTGCAGATGCACATAGTTGATTTTCGGTTACTTGGATTTTACCACTGTTAGCAGCCGCACAAGTTGTTCTTTGCTGAAGATACAAATTGACGCCACGTAATTGTCTGGTTGGTTGCACTCCATTTTCGCTGAGGGTTCCCCAGCCACTGACGAAATAAATGCTGGGCTCTGAATTCGATGTTGGCAAACGAATGGACTGTACATTGGAATTGAACTTGAATGGTTTAGATGTACGCAAGAGCGCTATGTCATTAACACTTGTTTTCGGATTGAATGCACCATGATAGGCGACACGATCGACCTTACGCAATTGACCGCCTTGTTTGAAAAAGTTAGAGCCTGCGCGCACTGAATGCGGCTTACTGGCATTGCCGTAGACGCAATGAGCCGCGGTCAACACCCAGTACGAGCTAATAATTGAGCCACCGCAAACGAAAACGTTCGCCTGTATCACAGCCGTCTGCCAGGGTACTTCGCCGATGGTAATCGGACGACCGCCAACAATTCGATTAGGTGCAGTGCTATTTTCCTTTGATGGTAATTGGCTGATGCCAGTGGAATTGGTGAGATTGATAAGTGTTAGTATTGCCTGCTGTTTTGCTCCATCTTCTACTTTGATAAATTCCAAAGTGGAATCCTCTTCAGAGCTATCTGCGTTCGTTGAAGCGTAGCTGCTTGCACAGATGCTTAGCAAAGTGAGGAGCGCCAACGTCCGTAACATCTTCGATTTAAAGTATAACTGTTGCTTGATTTTCGCATCGAATGCTTTGCTAGAGGTATCATTAGGTAAATCTGTGTTTATCTTTCCATGGTTGAGTTACATTCTTGGCTTATGCTATGGTTTACAGCTTATTAAAATTCATAAGTTTTATTTTAGGCACGCATGTGCACAATTTTTTTTACGGAATTCACAAAAAGAATGTGGTGAAAGCTTCTAATGAGGTCAATTCAGATTAACAATTGGAGAGTATATTTAATCTAAGCCACATAGTAGATTCGCTAAGTTGTTTGCCATTTGATTACTGATTGACGATTATGAGCTAGCATTTTAAATATATGTTAATACTAAATAGGAGGGTACCCGACGTGGTTTGAAGTGAATAAATAAAAGCCTAAAAATAATAATACAAACCTTCTGTTTAGCCTAAATAAAAAGTGAAATATATAATATTTACTGTGGTGAACTTTTCTTTTTATTTAATTTAAGATGTGATTTTACTAACATAAACCAAATTTTTAGTTTTACGGTGCGGTGCATAAACGGAAATATTATTCGCATTGCCCACTTGTAAACATCTGACAAATAACTGACTATCAGCTAGGCAGGGTTCTTCCAGTTCAAAACCAGTCACCCTTAACGTTTAACCTCGCGATATGTTAACGACATGCCAAAGCTAAGCCGCCCCGGTAACTAAAGCCTTAAAATTCAAATGTGAGACCTATGGAAATTAAAGGTATTCTTAGCGGAAAAAACTTGATACATTTGAATATATCTACTTGATCATTGATACTTGCGTCACATCTGCCTAGTAACGGAACATGTTGGTTCCTTTGCGCATATTTCGTTGGGCAATTCAATGAAAACAAGTTTCAGTCGCATTTTACACGAAGACATGGTGTACAACTGCAAACATGGGCGTGGCTAGTTCCACTCGTCTGACGCGCAATTTCCAGGTATTTCACTGTGTCCGGGTACCCCAACACCATGTTAATGGTCACTTTCGCGGCTAGCTCGTTTCAAGTTCTCCTACATTCGACAGCCACTTTCGAGGAAGTGATGCTGCACTGTAAGGGTTTACTTAGTTACTACTTGGCTGTCAGAATAAATGGTAACTGGGAGCGTAAAGAAGTTGCGGAGCTATTAAGCCATATGACGGCCTCCCTCATAGCTGGACCTGAAAACGCTACAGTGGTTAAAAAGACGCATGCTATGGTTTAGTGAGAGGTGTTTAGAGTAAATTCCGCTCCCAACTCTATTATCGAGCTTTGACCCATCCGTAAAAATTGCGTTGGAGCCTGGATCTAAGTTCGAGCGGTTTACCTCACGAGCGGCTATGTCTCACGAGCATTTTGGTTTTGAACTTTCAAGGCAAAATGATATTTTATTAATAACAATAAGTCGATGAAATAAAAGTTATACAATTAGTATAAGCACTTATTTAGATAAGCTAGTTAACAAAAAAATAGCCACATTGTAACATTAAATCGGTATTTTATTGTAAAATTTTTTGAAAACAATTAATTAAGAAACGTAATTAAGTGAAGTAGCTGGAGGCGAACATGCCCATATGAATGGAAATCTCCAGCTGCGCTCCATTGGGACAGCAAACACCAAGCAACATAGAAGCGATGTTGAATAGCGAAAAAACGGGTGTCCTGCTGTGCGTACAATAAGCGGAAGAGAACCCAATGCAGTCACACTTGTGGTACGCAGTAAATGGCAGACAGCAATCGAAAACTGGCAACTGGCAACCGGCAACAGCAGTGGCAAGCGCTCGAATGAGCTTGTAATTAAGTTTGGTTTCCAGTTTACAATTCCGCATGTACTACATACATTGTCAAAAAAGCAAAAACAAAAAAATTCAATTTAACGAAAAAAAATTTTGTTCCAGAACGTTAGTAGAAATGGTTGCTACTAGAGGAAAGAGGTTTCATTTGCTTGTCAGCGGCGGTAGCGTGCACGGTAGCCACAAGTTTGCTGCAAACATGCCAGTCACAGCTGCAACAACAGTTCTGTTAGGCTGCCGCACCTACATATGTAACTACCAAACAGACTAACTTGGCTGCTACCGATGTACCGACGCGACGTCGCTGCTTGCTAATCGCACGACTTTTTTTTTTTTTTTTGTGGATCATTGGATCACTGCAACATGTTAATCCATCTACGAAACTCGCTGGTTGGTGTAGTGCTCGCGGAACTCTCGAAGAATGTGCCCATGCGCTGACATACCATGACACCGTCCGTGCAAGGCAACATGACATTTGACAGGGGAAATGTCCGCTGGCCGAACTGTGTCTCACAAAGAACGGCGAAGTGTCCTATGCCTCTAGGTATCAATTGGCAATTGGCAATTAGAAATTGGCAGCGGGTAACTAACTACTTTTACATATTAAAATATCCATATATGTATGTACATAGATACATAAGTAGGTTGGTGTGTAAGTATGAAAGTAAATGCAATGCATTCACTTGTAAAATAAACTAAAGCGGCTATAGACATAGTGCTCCTGGCATTTACTTACAACAAGTTGCCACTGTACGGGTACGGTACATGCGCGACATTAGTGCTGATGTGACACAGCGAGTGGCAGAGTGGCAGAGTGGCAGTTGCAACATGCACTTTACATGCATTGCGCGAGTTGACAACATGGCAAGCTATGTATGTATGTATGTACGTCGGGTATGTGTAAGTTAACAGTCGAGAATCGGTGGCGACGTAAAGCGCCACAAATGTCAAATGTCAGGCGATGACAGAGCAGATTGGAGAGATAAGCCGTGGCGTTGGATGTACATACATACATACACATATTTGTGTAGTTTAGATTTTAATTTGATAAACTGCAATAAGAACAGACAAGCGCCCATAGGCGACTCTTTTATATATGTTAAATGTGCTTAGCATGGAGAAATTCGAAGATGGCTTAATTGTAATGAAAATATTTATTTAAAATGTACTTACGTACATACACAAGTAGGTACTTTTTAAATCGATTCATATTTCTGGGGGGGGTAGAAGGATTATAGATACATATATTTTGTAATGAATACCTGCTGTATATTTGAAATTTTGCATTGAAAGCACAGCTAAGTTTTGATGTGAAACTTCTTTGGCTGTGGTGGGTGTTAACGCGATGTAACATCGATGTAATGAAAACACGACACAATCGTCGGGCTCTGAAAGCGCATTCATCGTTCTAGTTCAGAACTGTTCTTCTATGTAGTTGTTGTTGTGTTTCTCTCTCTGCGAAAGAAACTGAGAAAAGTTTTGAACGCTTTTAAGTTGTTAACTCAACTTCGACTTTAGTTCAGAGCTAGAACGATGAATCCGCATTAAATGCAAACTCGAATGAAACAAAAATGCGAAAGATGTAGAGAAGGGATGGCGAAGGCGGTTGGGCCCGATTAAGATTAAGATCCAAAATAAGTTTAAGATTATTATTGTTATTGGAGTGAAACTTCTTTAGCGGCGGTTGGTTGGCCGGGAGTAAATTGGCAAATTCAACGGAAATTGCACACGGAAATGGTTGGGGCTGAATCAAGTGCTTTTTGAGTGTATGCACATGGTACTAATTTAGCAAAAACTTGCTAATAAAAGGCTAAAGAATAAAACTTAGAAAAGGACCAATACAAGAATGAAAGAAAAGGTGAGTACATACATATATAAAGAAAAGGATAAAGGCAGAGGTAAAAATAAAAACAACATCAAATATGCGTAAAGATAAAGGCAAAAAGGAAGATCAAGGTAAATTTAAACACTTTACTTATATAAGGGCAAACATAAAAGTAAAAACAAAGATAAATATAAAGAAAAAGATGAGGATGAGGATACCGATAAAAGTGAAGATGAAGATAGAGAAAAAAAGATTAAAATAAAGGTAATTATAAAAAAAAGCATAGAAAAGGATATAGATAGAGACACAAACTGAATAGATTTTTAGAGATTTTAGAAATTTTCGGGTTTCTCGGAGATTATCGATATAATAATCTATAGTTTTATCGATTTTGTTATCGATATTTTTATCGATTTTGTTATAGATTCTACAATCGATTTTTTTATCGAATTGTTTGTATATATTTTGATCGATTTTGTTTTCGATATCGTTATTGGTTTTGTTATCGATTATTTATGGACTTTGTTATCGATATTTTTTTCGATATTTTTTTTGATTTTGTTATCGATTTTGCTACCAATATTATTATCGATTTTGCTATCGACATTTTGATCGAATCTGTTTGTTCCGAATTTCCAATGGATTATGTGTAGCACCATGGTCCCCTTTATATGCACTTTGGTGGGCCCATAAAATGGTTCCGGGTCATAAAATACTGCAGTAGCTCCCTGTTTCGCTAGGCAGTCAGCCTCCTCATTCCCACCATGTCCCTCATTCCCCGGTACCCATCCTAATAATTACTAGTGGTAGTTACCAAAGTAAGATCTATGCACTCCCAACAATGTAGCCAATAGTACAGACAGTAATCAACAAGAGACTTTCGAGTCTTGAGTTCCAGTGCATCATTCATGCATTCGCCTCCGTTGTAATATAGTGTTCGAAGGCAATAAACCAGTGAACCCTATATCTCTGCAGGCATTAAATAAATGAGGGTTTGAGGCGTCTGCGTGGCAGTCTCTTTTATTTTTAAACCTTAGAAGATGGAAATATGGAATATTCAGGCACCGAACAGTTGTCTTTGATAATAAATTCTGTCATCGAAGAATTTTCATCGAGGTTTTCTGAATTCAAGGAGTTATCGGAAACGGTCAAATTTATTATGTGTTCTGATGGGACTTCACTTGGTACATAAAATGATCTTGTAGAAATTTGATTGTTTCGAAATCGGAGAATTTGAAATGCAGCTGATTGAGTTCCAGGATAATTCAATATGGACTAAAAACTGTGTGGAAACAAGGAAACAGTTGGAATCAATCGAATTAGAAAGACCATCAGCCAATTTGACAAAAAATGCTAATACTAAAACTTTAGAAACTTCGAATTCAATTC